CTAAACTTCTCTCACCCAGCTAAACTTGACAACCGCCACAAAATTCCTGCAAGCAAAACAGAACCAACCATCTTGAACCTTGTTACTTGTTTGCACTTGTGTGAAAAGGGCTTTGTAATAGTCTAGTCTCTCTAGGGCCAAATTTATTGTATTGATGCAAACGTTTTGATTACACCGCATTTGACACAAACTCAACATGTGAAGATAATTTGTAAATGATTCTACAAGACATTCGGTGAACGAGAACATGCATGTAAAAAAGAAAACACTGAGAGATTTGTTGAGGAAGGCTATATTATGTGTTAAAATGATTAGTCAACATTGACAACAATATTTGTCAGCAATTGTTGTTGACCTAATATAAAACTATGCATGAAGTGAAAGTGAAAGTCTCTCTTTGTATATTTTTTGTGAGCTATTTAATATATCTGCATAGTTGTCCAAATTAATGTCCTGTGAGTGTTTTATAATGGAAGCGCCCATACAGGAGGATCTAGCAAGGCTCAATGATGTTTTTGCCATAGAATGATAAATAAACCAGTATATGAGCTTCAGACGTGCTCTGGCGGAGCTGTTTACTCTTCCGGTCAGCGATTTCCCAATAATATCCAGCTGCAAACTCAACCAGCATCAGATTGACGTGCTTCACCAGATTTAGGGTGTTTTACTGTGTTTTAGATTTGTCTGTATATTTTTGAATAGTAGTTATTTAATAGTAGATATTCAGTCAGTCTAGTTTAAAGCAGAAGCTGGTCTTTTGCAATCTCCCTGTTAACCTGTGTTTATATACACATACACACAGTTGAAGTCAGAATCATTAGCCCCCCTGAATTATTAGCACCCTGTTTATTATTTTCCCCAATTTCTGTTTAACGGAGAGAAGATTCCAACACATTTTTAAACATAATAGTTTTAATAACACATGTTGATGGTTTGTTCTGTAGACTTTCAAAGAAAAAAAATAGCTTAAAGGGCCCAATAATATTGTCCTTTAAAAGATTTAAAAAATAACAAATAAAAAACAAATAAGACTTTCTCGAGAAGAAAAAATATTATTAGACTTACTGTGAAAATTTCGTTGCTCTGTTAAACATAATTTAGGAAATATAAAAAAAAAGATAAAAAATTCAAAAGGGGTCTAATGATTCTGACTTCAACTGTACATACATACATACATACATACATACATACATACATACATACATACATATATATTTTTATATATAGTTTTAGTTTTAAATATAAATTAAAAAATATAAATATACATTCAAATAAATTACATTTAAAAAAAATTCTTATATATTTTTAATCAAATGCTGATAATAGAAAATAATAGAAGGCACAACAAATGTATAATATATTAATAAAGGTTTAAATGAGCATTTCATACAAACATTTTGGAAAAAATGTCAAGTTGGGTGGGCCTTCAAAAATGGATCGGAGAAAGAAGTGGGCCCCGAAGTGAAAAAGGTAGATAACATTACATCTAGAATTTTCAACAGGTTGACTGTTTTTACCATTTAAACCACTTTACCTCTCCAACCAGCCAGAATCATGCACAAGTTTGCAAAGTTCTGCACTTTAAATGTCTACCAGAGATAGTAATTAGTTCCTGATTAGTAGAACTGAGGCCTGTACCGTTAAGGCCAGATTCAGTTTAGTTTTAGTTTCAGTTTAGTTTACAGCAATTCTGGGTTTTAGGTACCTTCGGGGCAGGTTAAGTTCTTGATTACCCATTAATATTCCACTACTATTCCACCCTCAACTGTAAGCAAATCAACATCTCTGACATACTGTAATAAAAACACACTCTCAGTTTTTCTTGCTCCAAATGAAAGGTTACTAAATCGTTCCTGACGATTGAGCCTTACTGATGTTTGCGTTTGCTATATGTATATTAATTGCTGATTCAAAATCACCTTGTGGATATTTAGAATTAAGAATCTCATTTCAGAGAAGTGAATGGAAGACATTTTCAAATGAAACACGTTTTCAAAGGAGAATAAGTGACTTAAGCATTGTTTTTTTAGATAAACAAGTATGTTTATTTAGCATGTTTCCTGAATATCTGCATATTAGGGTATTTTCATGCTTTAAAAGAGTCAAAAAGTTACATATAGCACCTTTAATTATATATAACCGTACAGATATGAAGCTGCAAATTTAAGCTTTATATTTAAATTAGGAGATAAAGCTTTTAAAAAAAGGTTCTTTGTCTCTGTAAGACTTTCATTATACAGTACCTATACCAGTACATATTATCAACAAGACAAACTAGTTTTAATTTATTCAATTCATTGGTGTTTTCTTGCTGCTAGCTGTTTTTTTTTTTTTTTTTTTTTACTTTTTCCTCTTTCATAGACAATTAAATTATTTTGATGTTTAAATGTTTTAAACTCTACATTCTTTTCTTAACTTTTAAGCTCTGGATGTAAATTATGCTGACTTTTTTGCGAGACTTAAGTTCCTTTGATTCAAGGTGTGTGATTGGCTTTTTGCTGCTGATGTCCCATCTTCATGTGCACACTCATCAAGGCCTCATCAAAGCCTCTCTATCAGAGAGTTGATGATCGGCGTCATGGTACCTACAATGCCTGACTGTGCTGGTATAGTTTTGCCAACTCAAAACTAATGCTGTAATCCTACATTTGTTCAACCACCATCATGGCACAGGTAAGAGTAGTCATCAGGTAACATCAGGAATAACTCTGTGATGCTCATGTCAACAAACTGTGATTTGGGACAAATTAGTTCTATTTTCTAATATTATTTATGGCTAGCAAGTAATTTATGATGTAACATAGCAAAATGGTAAAGCGTGGAGACTTCACAAAAATAAATTACAAACAAAAACTGCTATTATGTGTTGTTTTTTGTTCTTCGCTTTGGAATTAAAAAAAGGAAGTTCAGTATACACAAGCAGACATTTATGCTTGGTGAAAATCCAAATGTCATCTGTGCTGCAGAGAGCAATGTTTAGATTAATATGTAAATATATGCAACACTATATCCTTTCGCTAACAAAACAATTACATAACAATAACGACAGCGTTGAGAAAAGTGTCTGATAGCAGTGATATGCGCACATTAATGCAAGATATATATCATCCTATACAATAGACTGCTCTGAAGCAAGCAGATTTACAATACTAAGCATTAAGTCAGAGTTTAGCTTAGCTCATTCAATGAATATTGGATGAACTCAATTTAATTGAGGGCAGGATTTCCATCCTATAAATTTGTTTAGCACCAACTTAAAAACAACTATTTATACAATTGAATGCAATTGTGTTGGTCCAACTGAATTTTATCAAATAAAAGTTTAAACAAATTTGTAGTTTTTTTAGCCTAAACTCAAGGGTCTGATAATGTTATGTATGTCTGGTATGTGTCGTACATTTTGAGGTCTCTTAGTTTTATTTGAAATTATCCTAAATTAACTAAAAGAGCCATTTTAAGCATATTTCATGAGTTGTACGTATATACAGTTGACTGAGGCTAATCTCAAATTTAAGTTTAGGACAGCTATTGCTCACTGAGCAAAGCAATAAACTGCAATTTTTTAATCTACCAACACCCAAAGCATGGATGCTTCTGCAAGGCAGTAAACTCAAAGCACTACGTGAAACTCTTCTAAATATTCAAACTAAAGTGAAGATTAAACTCTATAACAAGTCTTTCTATTAAGTCTAAACACATAAGATTACTTTTATTGTCAACATGTCCCTCTCTTAATTCAATTCCACATAAAGCATGCTGAGAACTTCAAATCCCCTAACCAGGTATTTGGACCAACACAATTCCTTCATGTTATCCCTACACAAAATGCTTAACTTAACGTAATGGTTTACAAATTTAAGTGGACTGTACATAAAACAAGGAAATTGCCCAAAGGAATTACAAGAACTGCGTATTCATTTTAAACGGGTAGTTTGAACAAGCTGCAGTAATCTTTTTTTTTAATTTTTTTGAGTGTGTTAGAACTACAACTTCAACATTTTCTGCAATACAGTAAAGCGGCTCTCCACTGTAATGTATTCCTTTTTTTTACTTGTGAATGCAAAAAACCTAAATCATATCATTACATTAATATAGTTTGGTTTGCACAGCTTTTTTTATTTTGCTAATTACAATACGGATTTATCTAAACAATTGTGATATTAGGCATAACGATGCATCCATTTAAAAACACTTTTTAAGAGTGAAAGAGAAAGTTTCACTGTCTGTTATACAATAACACAAAGCACTAATAAGTATTGCAAAAATTATTGTAGCTCTATGATAGTAGTACAAATGTAAAAGTAGTTTAAACTGTAAAAGCTGAACAATCGTTTAAAGCAGAATGATTAATCAGTGGAATAATTAGAAATTAGTAGATTATTCCAATCATTATTTGATTACTCAATTAGTTTCTGCCACCATATTGTTGAGTTATACAATCTAAGACACTTCGATGTTCTGACCTCAAAAAAAATTGCTTCAAACACAGATTAGTATCTACAAGTGTGTGTGGGTGAGCATTTTTTTTACTCATCATTAAAAACCCAAATCATCATTGCAAACTATTTTTTCATTTGACCTGAAATAAATCCACAAACAGCACAAGATAAAAACTAAATATTTAAAAAAAGAGCACTTCTTTACAGAATTGTGATGACCCAAGCTCAAAAAGCAGAGTCTTGAAATGAATGGGCCAACCTTTCATGCTCATTTAAAAACCACAACGCGAAAGGAAGCGAGTTTAACTCTATGATGGTGTTTACTAAACCCAATCAGCATCTTAGACAGGATGAGACTAGTGATACATGCTAAAGTTTAACCACAAGTCTACATTTTACCTGGTTCACATAAGGATAGAAACCGTAAACCGCATGCAAGAACAACTTTGTGTGAAGGACAAACATCTTCAGTATATTCAAGATCATTGAGCGATTGATAGATCTGCAGTTTGAAATATTACTGATAGTTAATACAAATAGGAAAGTATGAGTGACTCTTACGTGGCATGATCCCCTGGTCAACCAGTTCTTCTCGAGTTCGCCTCTGCTGAAGTTTGAGTTGGAGCACTAAAAAGAAACAAGAATTCAAAGATGAAGGGCAGTAAAATGACTAACTCAACTCTGAATTAAGTTAACAAACACTTATTTTAAGACTTTGAAAAGGTTGCACCATGACAGATTGACTTTAAGATTTAAATCAACCTCATTTTTTTGCACAACTACAACAAGAAATAAATACACACAAAAAAAAACCATATAAACAAGATAAGAGTGCCAGCGAGAAGCAAACGGGCATACACGAACGTCTAAATCACCAGAAGTGCATCTGAACTTTAAAAATAAGTTACTATGCATAATATGATTCAGTGTACCTCATTACTATTTTAAACCCTCATTATCTGCATGTTCAGCAGCTACAAACGCAAGGAAATGCATCATGACAGAAAACACACAAGTTGATAAAGTACCCGGCGAGCAGCTCGATCCGTCTCGTTCATTCTCCCCACAAACAAGCCCTTTCTGACAGCCGGTAGTGAGTTTATCAGTCACAGAGAAGAGAGTACAAACTACAACATGCTTCCTCTTCCTGTTTCTGCGTTCAATTAAAAAGAGAAGCAAGTGAGCGAGATGTTTTCACGGCTTACCACAGGAAGAGAGACTGTCAATTCTATGAATCGGACTTGAAGATTGTTTCAATTAAAATTTTCGATGAAAACTATAAATTGGTACGAAATGACATACGCCGACACGTCTGCTGTGTGAAAATGCAATAGAACTGCTCCTATTCTAAAGCAAACATCTGTGGAGCTTATACAGGGGTAAATGGTGACCTCAAAAATATGGTCACAACAAAAAAAACAAGTGCTTGATCAAGTGATTTATTAGTAAACCACAATAAGTAAGAAGACTAGTGAAGATTATGATGAATATTTGATAAAAACACCATAGAGAATCATCATTATCTGAACTACGAATGTACTAAAAGTCAGGCGACCATTTTACGGATTAGAATATACACGCCAGTGGTAGCTCAATAAAAAAAAAACAGTTGTTAAAAAAAGTGCGTCACAGTCTTTATCAGGACTATCTGAAATAAGTAAAGCATCAGAATCGTATTTCATCAGATTTCAAACAGTGATGTTCATGCATAACCAGGGCCGCTCATGTAACAAATAGATAAGTAAACACCAGCTTGGGAGGAACAGGGTTGTCTCTGTTAGATTAATAACTTGATACAAGGCTAAAACAAACCATCTTTCATTGTGGTTTTGGTTTACGCTTCTGACAATTTGACACATTTACTCTCTGGTGTTATGCGATGGTGTACAAATAATGCACTAATGTAGATTCTATAGTTGAACTGCAAAGCGAGTTGATAAAAACATTAATCTGTAACGTCAATAACACACATTTAAACTGTTTTGTCAATAATATATGATAGATAAGATCATCAGGATGCAGGTTTATAATTCCTAAAGCCTGAAGGAATGCTAATAAAAAGTCATTCATCCCAATTGCAGTTGTTATCTTAAATCGCATCACTGTTTGAAGTGTAAGGGGTGGTTGTCAAGAATGATGTGCAGTAATATGTATGGGACTAATTTGGTTATTAAGTTTTTAAATTGTTGTTGTCTTGATGAGTGTTGCTACTGTTTGATTGTTGTATGTATGCAGTTGTTTTCTTAAATACAGTGCTAAAGAAAAATTTCCCTTCTGTGCCAAGCAAAACGGACAATAAAACTTTAACTAAACTAGACACAAAATCGTTTTTAAATAGTACTCATTATTATTTTACATTAAACAAAAAAAAATTTAAAAAAACAAATCACAATTTTGCAATGTATGAGGTTATGAATTCTTTTTTTGGTGGTTTATATTTATATATTTATAATTTTTAAATATATTATATTTATTATTGTTTATGTTAAATTAATTAAAAAATGTATTTAAATATACAGACATAAATATATAAATCACACACATGAATTTAATCAATAGCCTGTTGTCATTATTTGTTTGTAGTCATTTACTGGTACAACTGAAAGAAACTTCCGATCAATTATATCACATGTTCCTCTTGAAATCTATTTGTAAAACTTCACTTATTTGAACAGGATAGCATTGCATCTGCTTATATTGGTAAAGCACTAACAATTTGGTTTAATGCTTAACATTCAAACCTTACACAATTTATATAATTTTTAATTAATTATTTAGATATTTTTAATACTGTTAATAATGTTTGTATAGTTTATTTTCCTTTTAAAGTGTCTACATCACGCAAATACAGTAGTCAACATTTGAAGTTGTTGAACCTTTCATCAAAGTTGTCCTAAAACTATTGAAAAAACCCCAATCTTGCCTTAGGACAACTTTTTGATCCATTTCAAACGTTGACTACTGTACATCAAGACATTCTCAATCTTGTTGAATAATTAGAAAACAAGAGGTATCAAAATCTTATCACAGACATATTTTATCATTTATTTGACTATGTTACACAGTCTAATGTGTTTTTGAACATGATGTTGTTGATGCCTGATCCTGTCAGTGCGGGTGGATTTATTAAGCGAGCACCTTTAGCACCTGTTCACTTGCCGCTTGTGTTGTGGAAAAGAGCCAGTGCCGCACCTGTTGCGTGGCTAAATTGTGATCTGGCGTTTGGTCTCCACAACAGCTGATGGGCTGCTGAATTCTGATCTGGCATGAGCTCACTGAAGATGATCTGGAACTGAAATTGAGATGGCTGGCAGGATGCGCGCGCACATTTCAGGATGACAACAGTGCAAGCTTACAAGCTAAACCTTAACGCTGAGAATTAATAACTTTCCCACCCACTAAAAAAAGACAATTGGGGCCTATGACTCACTATAACATTTAGGAGTCTAATTCTGCTTTGGAAAGATTGTGTGTGTGTGTGTGTGGTGTCAGGGTGAGCTGTTCATGCTCAAACTACAGCCAAAACACATTGTAAACATTGCTGTGGCAAAAATAGAGACTTGAATGGTGTGAACAAAGAAAGAGAAATAAAGAGATGCAGGCCCTAACTAGGCCAACATCAGCGAATTGCCATTTTTCATAAATAACATTCTGCTAAATAATCCATTAATCCACTCGTTTACTTATAATTCAACACCATTTGCAGTAGTTACCACAATGTTAAGATGTCAACCAACATTAAACAGCGCAGAAATTCTTATTCATTCACATTCAAAATATATAAATATGAGCCAAAATATATATTAATATAAGTAAAGTAAATGCAAGCAATATAGTATATTGGAATGTTTTCATGCATTTCATGAATGCATGTCACAAAGTTAAATCAGTCTATCAAATATTTGTAGCTAAAATATTAATACATCCATAAGTATATACAATCCCACTCTCCAGCAACTTTATTACAGTAAGTACGCCATGTTCAACTTCTTGTCAACACACATATCTAATCAGCACACCAGTACTTAGTACTTTTAGACATCAATGTGGTTCAGCCCGAACATCAGAATGGAGAAGGATATTTAAAGGGTCACCCAAAAATTTAAATATGTTGTTAATTTATTCACCCTCAGGTTATTTTGTTGTTGTTGTTGTTCTCCAGGAAATGAAAATCATCAGATTAAACCATCAACTTTAGTGATTCATCACCATGAGAGTCGAAAAAAAGCATATCAGGGATAAGAAAATGAATCCCTGTGGCTCCCAACAATACACTAATATCTTATGAACCAAAGACATCGATCTGCACAATAAGCTGAACTTTATATAAAACATTTTTACCTTTCATCCACAGCCTAAGCGAACCACAAAATGTGATTATTTTCTGCAAATGGGATTGTTTCTGATTTAAATAACTGATTCAGACACAATCATAAAATTATTTAATTCAATTCATGTCGATTAATATAGCGCTTTTACAAATGTGAATTGTGCCAAAGCAGCTTCACATAGAAGATTACAGTAAATTGAAATTGTGTCAGTCCCGGTTTCAGAGTTGAAGTTCACAAAGTTGACATTTTCCTTATAGTGTACTTCAAATCACTAAAGACCTTCGATACAACTCACTACGCAGTCTTTTCTCTCTATCTTCATCCAGAGAAGGCACCACATATTGATATATAAATACACACACAGTCAAAACAACACACATCAACATCTATAAATCAAAAATCAAACAAAACAAACCCCTGTAAAAGCACTGTTTTGCCTGCAAATCTAATGTTCTTAGTACACATCAATTAAACTAAGCTCATGACACAAAACTTAAGGCACTTCTCTGTCATATTTCCTCATGGCTTGTTCTGTTTCTATTTGTGTCCTCACAGTCATACTGTACCTGACACTTAATCTGTGTGGCAGCTTGCTGCTGAGTTATTGAGGATATCACTGTAAATTACGCCTCACGTCTGTAATTGCGACCTGCAGGACACCTAAATGTGCTGGTAAAGCATGTGTGTGAGTGAGTGTGTGTATGAACTTCACCTGGATGGAGAAAAATGTCACCGCTCTGCTTTTCTCATCACCCTGGCATGCCAAGCACAGCATGCACCATCACACAAACATTTGCTAACTACTCAACGTATCAAGCCAGCTGTTTACAGGTCTCATTAATAAAATACTCAAAAACAGCACATCACAGCTCACATCTGATCTAGTTAAATCTGATTGCTAAACCACAGGCGTTTTAGAAAATCTTATAAGAGTTTATGTATTTTCCCCCTAAGACCAATATTCCAAGTGTTTGAGAAAATATGAGAGCTTAAAGACGCCTTTCATGTGGAGAATGAAGTCACATGCATTGTTCAAGTGTAAAAATCTTGATGGCTCTGTGAGTCTCGTCTATCAAATCAGATTTTTATTTTATATTTTCTATTGAGTTCAAGACAGGTGATTGGCTGGGCCATTCTACAGCTTTATTTTCTTTCTCTAAAAGCATTTGAGTTTTTCCTTGGTTGTGTTTTGGACCATTGCCTTGCTGAAATGTCTACTCTGGATTTATCTTCATCATCCTGATAATGTAGATGTTGGACTGAAACAGCGAACAATAATTTACAATGACGAAGGAC